AGAACAAAAAGCCAAAGCTTTCTAAGCACTCGACCGCTGGCATTCCCTTGCACAGTCATGTGAAATGCTCAGTTCAAATTACTGTTTACAAAATTGAAAACACAAAGTAAGATGTCATGGCGCTCATTATGTGTTTTCCTCCCACAAGAACTCGTAGGCCATTTCAAAATACAAAGAAGCAGTTTTCATAGAGAAAACTGATCCATATAATCAACTATGATCCTTGACTTTAACACTGCAGTTTGTCCTGCTATAAAAGGAAAGGATCAACAAGACATAGCAAAGAATTCTTTGCTAGTTTCTAGCACCAAAGACATCCCACTTGACAGGAAGCAGAATGGGAGTGAAGCAGGTTTACAATGCCTTTAAAAACAATCCAAGGAGAAAAAGGCAAATAAAACAGGGAGAGACAACCAGCAAACAAAAGACATTGCTTCTAAAGCCCAGAAGGAAAGATGAGAGCAAAACTGTAGCTTAAGTTTTAGCTTAAGTCTGCGTGGAGACTTGAGCTAACCCATCTAGCCACACAGGTACAGTCTCATGGTATCATGCTTCAGCAACGTATTCAGGAGAAAAGCCTAACAGCTGATAGCAGAAAATCTTTATAGCTAGTCAGCTATAAAAGCAGTCAGCGGATTATTCTGTTACCAGTCTGTTCAGAGATGCCCATGATAGCATGGGCTGCTAGCCAAAGTTCGAGCAGTCTGTCTTGAGCTCCCAAATTTTGCTGATGCACTGGTCAAAACCAGAGAACTGTTAAAGGACAGCTTTTTTCAATAGTGCAACAGTTACTTCATTAATAGGAACGTTCTAGCCCAGAAATGGCCACACCAGTGGCCGATGAAGCATTTGTACGTGCACAGTTCATAATCTCAAAGCGCTTCTAGATCTGTAAAAAGGTGCTAAAACACAAAATAAATAAATAAATAAACATGCAGCGTTTATGATTCTGGGGGGGACAAGCCCTCGTTCTGACTATGCATAGATTAGCAACACTGAATTACCCATTTCAGATGAAAGTGGCCCAACCCAGCCACGATTTACTGAATTAGCTGGGCAAGTACAAGCTTTTTGAACCCCATGGAAATGCTTGAAGTGCAGAGCTAAGAGTATCACAAGCATGTAACAATACTGATGTGTGACCACAGTGCTGTTCCTTACTAGGCATCCAGCTGCAAGGGCTGCCTGCACGCTTTGAGGAACTAGGTGGTAAACAGCAAACAAGCACACTCATCTGCTTTCCAAACATTCATAATGAGGTTTTATGGTATCACTTATTAGTGCACCTATCTGGATTCAGATATTTGCTCTCTGAGTCCATCCCACCGATTCTACCCCAAATAAGAACCAGTCATGACTGCCGCTCTCAGTTGCCTTCATGAGAAAAACTAAAACTGTTCCAGTCTCGGACAGTGCAGCAGTGAGGCTCCAGATATCCTTTCTTACGACAGACAACTTGAAAAAGTAGAAAGGTGCTGATAAAATTATTTCACCTTCCCAGCGTAACTAACTTGTGCCAGCAGTCAGCTCCTCCAAGAGTTCATTACATGATACCACTAGTATTAACTAGAGGAAACTTAGTACTGGACATGTTCTCTAGTCTTCCTGTGTTTGTAACGACAGCTTCCTCACTTCATACCACCCAAAAATACTAGGAGCCAGAAATGCTGCTCTGCTTAAGCCTGAGAATTCAATGAACAATTGCAGCACAAGGCAGGATAGACACCAAGCAGCTAACCGCCTCAAGCAGAGCAGACACCTGCACTTTCAGATATGGGGAGAGAAAGTTAACTGTTTACAGTTTAAATGTAAATGCAAGCAACAACTACTCATTTACTTAGAAAAGCATCAGGCTATTTGTGAGTCTTCCCAGATCACCTTACACTGTGCAATAGTATCTGAGACAGTCTCCCCTAAGAGGTTTGTCAAGCACATATTATTTTAGTCTTCCACATGCACCATGGGTCTGACTTCAGTCTTGGACACACCAGCACGATGCACAAGGCAGTATTACCCAGTCACAGGCTCAGTTCAGGTTTTCCAGTTCCAATGCCACCTGAATTATCAGCTATCACACCAATAGGTAGGAAGGCACTTCTTCAGAAGGTTTTAAAAGCCCAATTGTGTGAGTTGTTTGGAATCTATGAACTGGGCATTTGAATCCTCAACCCTTGCTGAGGATTTTGTTAAGTAGTTGCACATGGAAGTTCACAGTGCAGATTTTACAGTGAATGGTAAGGCTGTAACACTTGCTTGGCCAGCAGGGAGCCATGCCTGAGGATCTAGGGGTGTTGAACACCCAGGTGCCAAGAGTTACTGATTCATTAGAAAGGCCTGTAGATACACAGCTGGATCTGCGACTGCAGCACGGACAAACAGGTCAAAGTTATTTTCAGGGTGATTTCCCACAGTGTTTGCTCAGAAGTAGACAAAGCAGTGTGGTCAGGCACTGGTCCATTCCCACCCTACCTATACCAGCAGATCTAGATGCTTAAGGTCAATAGTGGAAAGAAATGATGAAGTAGCAACTCAGTGAGGCAAGGGCTGCGTAAAAAGAATGGACTTATGCCTCACTATGGACTTCACTCTTACAACCCTGTTTTGTCCGTGTAAAAACTACTTCTTTACATACAAACTATAAAAAAAAATGAGCACAATGAGGTGCAGGGAGTCCCTATGCAGGCAGATACTGCCTACATAAAATAAGTCTCTTTGTAAACAAATAAGAACATCCAATGGCCAAGGTATATGTTAAGGTCATCCACATTTATGACTGCTATCAGAAAACAGTTACCATTCCCTGCCTTATAACCTGACATAGTGTATGCCTTCTTCTGCAGCGCTCCATGCCCAGATTGTTCTGTTAGAAAACACATTGCTAATTAAAAAAACCAAAGTTTAGTTTCTCATAGTACAACACACATGGCAACAGAAGGTAACTCCTGCAAGCCTCTATACTTTAGGGAAAGCCTTCACTAAGGGAGGAGCAAAAGCCTGGACTGTCTCAGCTGCAGCTCACAGCTCTAGCACTAGATCAAGATTGTTTGTTAGAATAACTGCTGTGAGTTAGGCAGGACAGCTGTTAGTCATCATTGCACAGCCCATAAGCTCTTATCTTAGGGATGAGATAAAGGCCTCTATATTGACAATGTGTTAACAAAGGCCCTCTTCTGCTGCAGAAGGATCTGTGTGATGGGACTTCAAATGCAGAGAGAGACACACTGATGGGCCCCCATGCCAGCAGAGCTCTTGCCGAGATTAGAACCTTCCAGCAGAAGCAAAAGGGAAGGGGAAAAACTCTGCTTTCCTCTCCAGAGCTATTTGTTGCTCTTCTAACTCCATGTCAAAGCTAAGCTTCAACTGCTTTTTCCCCCTAGATACACACAGGAAGAGCAGCAGGGGAGTCACTTCTGGACAGATTCTTCCTTCCCTTAGATCTCATGACATGTATTTTGAGGCTTTTAATCACCAAGGGTAAGTGGTGTAAATACGCAGGACTGCAGACCTGTAGAATTTGTTTGAGGTAAGAGTACATGGGATTGGGAAGATCGCATCCCTAGCAAGCTCTAAGCAGGACAGAAGCCTTAAGATAACCATAGCAAAAAGGCAGCTAAAATGGTAATGAAAACAAGAGCAGAACTGAGGTCTGTTACTTTAGGATTACTCTCCAGGTGTGCATCAGCAATTATTGCAACAGATCAAATAAGGCATGCAAATATTTTGGCCACCACCCTGGCCTCTATTTTGTGCTTGACTTTGTTTTGCAGAAACTACTGGTACTTTTAAGGCTCCTTCATATATCAAAACAAGAACTGCTATGTCTGTTGATTTTGTTTATATCTTGCACATTTTATATTGTGTGTAGATATATGTAGGGAGAAAAAAGCCAAAACCTCTAAGACTAGCATAAGTCACAAATTCACCCCATTGGAACGTAGACAACCATACTAGGTTCAATCTTATTCAGCATTTAGGGCATCTGAGCTGTTGTTCTACCACCATATTGTCTGCTTAAAGCCAACGAAAGTGACATTGTACAGTTTAATATTGTCAAGTCAGTCATATGCACTAAAGCAGCTGCTGTTACATTTGTGTCTTCTGGTTTTGTTTTTCTGACTGCTTACCCCACTGCTTGAAATAGAAAGTCTCCAAAAGAAGTCTAGTCTCCATTAACGGATTGGTTGGCTAAGTTCCAACCCAACAGCAAAACTAACATCAACAGAGGAGTATAAAAATACAGCAGTTAGAAAGAATACTTTCCAATCAACATGCAGGCAGAAAAGGAACATGATGCACCACAGTCCTTTTCTGACCATCAAAGTATTTAAAATATTATAAAATTAGTAACAGATACAGAAGTGAAGATCCTGGGAGGTCTTTAGACACAAGCTGAAACAGCAAGGTAGGAAAGTAAGCGAGCACTCCACTTTTAAATTTGACAGCAACTGGCAGTGCTCATGTAATTAGCATTTTGCCAACAGCAAACATCCTGAATAGAGAATGTACCATATCTTAAATCCTGGTGCACTACATTCAACATGCAATTTAGGAGAGCTGGCAAAGCAAAGTTGGACAAAATTCAGAGTTTAAGAATTTTTGCATAGAAATCCCCTTCTGTTAACCACTGGACCAGATCTGAATTGCATAAAATATTCAGGTGCCTTTAAAAGTTATAACAGAATAAATACTCTATTATCATTGGTACATTCCTTTCTCAATCTAGGTAGACAATAACTTAATGTATTTAATATTTAGATAAAGAATTTTTACTAGATGCTTTGGCAATCAAATTCTTACATATTCTCTATTTCTAAAGAAGTATTTAGTTAAGTTTCTGGAAAAAAAATATCTGGATAATACTTACAAGAATTATATGCTGTACAGAACAGCAGTCCAAATCATCACTGCAAACTGTAAAGGACACAGTTAATAGAAGAGTATGGAAAGGAATGTATATTTGCTAGAAGATAGCCAGCATTCACAGGAAGGAAGAAGATATATCTGGCCAATGAAGCCAGAGAAAGATTGTCAGTTATTTTAAAAGCATTTTCTTACTTCAATTTATGCAAAAACTCTGTTTCCTACACTCCACACATCAATATTACAAAGATTTGGAAGAGATTTGTAATCTCTTAGGTAATGCTTGTTCGTGAAAATTTAAAAAGGTAAAAAAAAGTCTTCAATCCTGTCTTTAGTCAGACTAAAAACTTACTCACAGGTACCTTATGATAAATGGGGAAATAGGTGTTTCCTCATTACAAAATTACTTGTATTTTATTTGTAAGGGGGGGGGGGAGGATGGGGGAGGGAGAAAAAAATATATAAACCCAGAAAGACTTTCTGAGTGTTCACACTGAGAACTCTCTGGTTGGGCAACAGAGTGGAGCAATGAGAGTCCACAGGTACAGGCAGACACAAACCCAACATGAGGCCATCTTAATCCAGAAGATGGACCAGGTTCCGGTGAAGAACTTTTCAATCTGAGCACTTTCATAACTGTGAAAGGAAAAAGAAATAAAAGCAATAAACTCACTATTTATATCTCAGACTGCAGACTCCCCCGTTTTTTCAAATGGCTCACAGACTTCAACTAGGTTAACCCAGACACAAAACAGGGGAGAGGAGCCCTTTGTAGAGCAATACCTTGCACAGGAATCATCCAGGAAAGACTTGGAGTGCCTCTTCCAGCTTCTTATTTAAGAAGAGAAGACACACTAACGGCAGAAGTTCCATTCACATCTCCCCTTTCAGTGCAGAGGACTGCTAATTAATTAATTATTTCTCAGCTTTATAGAAATATACTTACTGGAACCAGTGAGTTACTGTCATCATCACGTAGAGCGAAGCCAAGAAGAAAACAAAGTGGAAATAGGCATAACTGTACACCGTGCCTTTCTTCTCGTCATAAATCACAGACTGGCCTCCCCTTTTTTCAACGTGCTCTTCAGCATCAGCTGTTAAAAGACAGGAAAAAGAAATATTTTGCAAATTTGATGAGAAATGAAAGCAACAGCTGGCTTCACCAAGAACACAGCAAAATATCCATGTTGTGTTTTAGGAAAGAATGAATACATAGCAACACTCTCCTTGCTTTCAGGGCATGGACCTAAGCCTTTAGTAAAAGAAACTGGACTGCCACTGAAACCCACCTCCTATCAGCCTTCTGGCCCACAAGCTAGTTTTTTAGCATTTGGGCCTTTAAAGTGCTCTACCTGCACACACAATACTCTTCTGGCAAGTTCAAGCTGATAACCCTGATTGTACCAAGTCTGTAAACAGGGCACGCACGTCCCCGTTCATTCCTGAACCGCAGTCTATGCAAAGCTGCTGAGCCAAAAATCTAGCAGGCAATCACACCCAGAAGCATGCAAAGAGCAGAGATTACTCTGTTGCAGTAACGAAATGTCCTTTAAGAAATCATTAACTAACCTGCTGTTTTAAATGGTATTGTTACATCACCTGCTTCCTTCCCTAGCCTAACTTTGAGCACTTCAGCTGCTTCAGTTTTATATTCAACAGCACAAGCAGGTCTCTATCTGCAGCTGTGTCCTTACTCTCTTGGCTTTGGTCTGAAAACTGTGAGTGAGGTAAATTGTGTGGTGAAAAATGTAATTACCGTCTCCATCAGGCATGCAGCAAAAGCAGCAACGAGCTACCTGTGGAACAGACAACAGGAAAGGTAAGAGTTGTGCTACAGCAAAGAGGCAGAACAGTTGGTAAAGGAAGGTCTGCTATGTCTAGGTTACAGACCCTAATGTAGACAAGTCTAGTTTGTATGTCCAGCCAGGACAAAAGTCAAATTAGGATTTGCCAAGTAGTTCATAACAGTTTCTAAGCTTTGGGAAAACCTACTCCATAAGATTTTGAGCAAATTAACTATTCTTTAAGGATTACTCCACCCATCTTATATAACCCATGGTCAAACACAAGTGCAAATACTTATGACAAAATGGTGGAACAGCTATAGCTATAGTACAGCAGTTGCACATTAATAGTTCAGACGGTACTTACCTCCTCAGACGTGCATTTCAGTGCTTTTTAAATAAAAAATAACTCTACTGAAATTAAAGGGTAAGGAACTTTCAAAACCTTGCCACATGGGTTGGAAATCAAAACTACACAAGTGTAAGTAAGTCAGAAATGTACTTATCTTTGAAGGATTTTGCTGAAAAGAAGCCAGAATGAGTACAAGCAGAATAAGTAAAATCAGAAATCTGGCTTTACTCCTTTACATAAATTAAGAAAGGAAAAGGAAAGCTGAAACTTACACTTCTTGTGTTAAGTGGTAATGTATATGGGAAAAGGATGCTGACCATCCAATAAATATAAGTGCATTTTCTGCACCATATCACAGTGCAAGTCAGCACCTTCTATAGTGTATCACCCACATTATTTGTCCCAATAAAATCCTACTCTGTGTTTTATTTTGGTTGTGGTCTGATGAAGACAATGAACTCTGTTAGGAAAATTCCTTTCCCTAACTATTATATCAATTGGGATTTATAATACGAAAGTGCATTAACTTCGTTTACTTGTATTAGTTCACAGCATATACTGCAATGTAATGATGTAGTGGAGTTTTACTGGAGGCTTTGGTAGTGCTCATGCTTCAATAAAATAAACCTCAGGACTGCCCAGCCCTGGAAAGAAGGACTTTGCTTCTTGGAAGGTTACAGCTGTCCATGAAGCATGAAAGACACCCCTGGACAAGCAAGATAATGCCAGCATCCTAGCCCCTCCAACATATCTTTGAAACTCTCCCAAGCATCCTGGATAAGTAACTATTGCAAGACTGACCCCAGGGATGTCTGATCAATGGACAAGTGGCAAGAACACTGCGGAAACAAAGTTGTTTTGCGAAATTTTACTATGACTAGTAAAACCCACCACACCCAGTGGTGTGGGTGTCAGGGATTAGTCAGACAGAGCTACACCTGAATGCTTGAAGGGTATGGTAGGAGGACCCTGTGTAAAACCATTTGGGGTGCCCCAATCTGTCTGAGACACCCCATGCGCATGAATAAATATTTACCCTTGTGATTCCAGACTTTGTGTTCTAGCCTCTCTCCTTGGTTGGCACAGGCCAGTTGCAAGTTTTTGTAACATGCCCAACTGATACCTACCCTGAAGAAGTCTAACCACCCTGATAAACAGTAAGCAAGTTATTGTGCCTGGACAAGATAAAAGGAAGCCATGGGACACTATATCCTTGAAATAGCAACAAAAGTAGACCAAAATGTGGGAATCAGCAAGTTTTGAGAAACATAGTAACAGACAACAGGGCATGTGCAAGAATGGAGTTCATCTAGTGGACACAATGGGGAAGACTATCAAAGACCACCAGAAGACCCTGGACGACCACCTAAGAGACTGTGTGCACATGCGTATAGGACACTTACATTACAATAATGAGTTATAAGAAAATTATGAATATGCTAATGGTTTATTGGAAAAGTAATGCATATGTATGTTTTATCCTGACAAAAAACTCATAGTTAAACTGCCATGCACGCATGTTAGGTGGAGCGATCCCCTGTGTGTCCAGTGCTGCAATAAAGGATGCCTGCTTTCTAAAACTCCACATTGAGTCTTAGAGAGTTCTTTGACTGAGTTTCACAGTAACACAACAATCAGATAGTAAGCTTTTAAGGTAAATTTTCCAATGGGAACATCAAATGGCAGTTTTTACCCTGCATATCCATGATCAAATGTACTCACAGGTTCACAAACTCATAAAAAGCCAAAAAGCTTATTCTTTTCTGAGCCTGGCTGAGTCTCAATAAAACCCTTACTCTGCATTTTTTCTACTGCTGTGCCAAGCCTCACCTACAGCCTGAGCAACCCTCGCGTTGCACTCACATGCTGAAGCAATGTGACTTAATTGCAACCTCTTAATCAGTTGTAATTAAGTTGCTGCACACACAGAGTGAGGAAATTAGTAATGCCGACACACATACTCCTAGCCCCTTGTAATGCTTGTTTGTCTTGAGAACACAGGCAGACCTTTCCACACCACAAGCAACTGCAGAGCTCCATTCAGGCTCCTGGCCAGAAGACAAAGGCCCTTTGCAACAGGGAAGGCAATCAGAGTGCAATTAGTGGCTCTTCACCAGTCATTTCTTTATGTTTATGCTTGGCGGCTCTTGTGTCCCTCTCTAAAACCAAACGATCTGGAAATAATGCTGTCGGCAAGCACTGGGGCGGTGAGCTGCACCTTCTGGGGAAGGGGCACATCCAGGGCCCGCTGTGTCAGCCACCCCAACCCCATTGCAGCTCCTGCCCCAGGAAGGTTAAAAGCATAAGTTAAAACTGCAGATGTCAATAACACCAACAGCAAGAAAGCTACGGATTCATCCTCCAAACACATACACACGTTTGGAGAGTGACACCAGCAAGCCTAATTAAGGGGCAACTGTTACACAGCAAAACACCACTCGTTTCCCAGTGCATCCTGGGTGTTTCCAGGATAAGGTGGCCAAAGAAAAAGGCAGGTAAAATGAAGAAAACGGTCCTGCTGAAACAGGGACAAGAAACATAATCCAAGATGAAATCATAGGCAAAAAGAGAGGAAGTACTTATGTGTGGAAATAAAAATAAGAGATAGGATCTTGGGATGACTCAGTTGCTATGAGAACAAAGGCAATAAGTACTGAAAAGATTCAGGAACACCACAACTTCTTCTTCTGATAGCTTCCTAGCAGACTTTTCCTTTAAATGAGAGGACATGAGCTTGTGTGGGGCACAGGAAGATTTACAGGAAGTGTGCAGGATGTTAAATAAACTACAAAAGCAGCAGATTATTTGAGTACATAAAGGTATCTCCATGGGACGAGCAAGACCTGCAGAACGGCCAATGTGGGCAAGTATTCTGGTATGGACTCCAGGTATAGTCTGGTTTGGTCTGGTCTAGCAACCAGAACCTGCACGCTACGAACAAGCTTTTGTTTTCACCTAATTACAGGTTACTTAGCCATGAAAAAAAAACAACAAGAAAAGCACATGAGGAAGCCTGCACAGAAATCCTGTGGGAGAAAGCAAGAACTCACTTCACTTTCGGGTGTTCCATATATGCCCCTCAGTGCTTCTGAGCTTGCACGTGTTGTTGAGGTCAAACTAGGAGCAAAAGAAGATAATGTCAAAACCCTCGGCACAAGGATAAGCCTAAGCATGATTTCGCAACACCACAGCAAACATAAATAGTTGCTTCCGTGCCTAAGCTAAGCATTTGCCTACAGCATCGAGCACTAAGCATGTGAAAAGTTTGTTCTGTGTGAGTATACACCAGCCACAGCCAGTCACTGGCCAACTCAGGCTGAATCATGAGTTTAAAAGGAGGTGAATTCATCACAATCATACAGCAGCAAAAACAGCTAAATGATCCAATTCAGAAGAGATCTCCCCTGCTGTGCACAACCAATGCTTTTATGTTAACTTTACAGCCATCACTTTGGCTCAGCATTTCTGTAAAGGCTTTCTGGCTAAGGAACAGGTCACTGGCAGCAGTTTGATTTCAAAAGTAAATTACCAACAGTGTACCAGTGGTCAGAAATCACTTTCTTGCATGACTGTAGTTGTCTGGGGGGAATCATATCATCAATTAGGTTGGAAAAGACCTTTAAGATCTTTGAGTCCAATCCTTTCTAGTTTCTTCTGAGAATAACCATTTCTTGCCCAGTCTTCCCCGTTCAGAATGTGTAATGCAAATCTACCTTCACCCACAGGGAGACATGTGTTAATGCTTTGCTGCACACACTACACCTTAGTAAGCAATACTTAAAAACCTTTCCCTTGAAGGCCTTCTTACCTACCCGGCTACCTGGCGCACTTCCCCTGCAGGTTATGTGAAAGTTGTCTGCGTTCCTGAAACACTTTCCTGAGGCACTGAAAATACTGTTCTAATGCAAACTAAACACATGATATCCATATATTTCATATCAGAATTAAAAGAAACACATGCATATTTGACAGCATAATAATAGCTGTGCTACTTCTTCAGAAATTCTGGTTTTCACTTCAAAATTAGAAAGGAGTTTCAGTATGTGAATTTTGAAGTGGACTGATTCAGAAGCAGAACTTGCTCAAAAACCTGCAGCAGGCAGGCAGCGCTGTTTCCTGATAACCTGCACAGCCAAAACAGGCAATACAGGTGACAACACATCACCTTTCAAATAAAAGCAACTCCTCACCTCCCCATCCTGAAGCATGACTGAATTTATTGATGTGAGCTGCAATGATACAAGGTGAGCATCACAAGTGTATGGGCACAAACAGATTTTTCTGGATAAGGAGATCACTGGCAAATCCTGATGGCAATACTGCACTCATCACTTGCTTAAAGGAAGACCTAAACCCTCCCAGTTTTGTTAATTTGAAAGACCCTCAGGGAACAGTCTTAGCCTCTGCCAGGAGGCTACAGAAATTTCAGGTACCTTTGCAGATGGTCAGAACTGCATAGTTTTTCTTGCAGAAAGAGTAAATTCAGAATCAAACCACCCTGAGACTGTCTGAGATCCTGGACAGCTGGAAACTTTTCCCCCTCCACCTCCAGATGTAAAATGCTCTATTTGGTTTTAATGAAATGTATTTGTTTCAAAAGTTGTACTATCTTGTTGAACATTTTTGGCTAAAACATCTAACCATTCTGAAACTGGGGGAGAATGTGAACCTTCCAGCTCAGTTCTATTTCTCCCCGCTATTTTGTCTGCATGAGGCAAGCTATACGCCTTCTCTAGTTAGACCATGACATTACATTTACAGTGAGGCAAGTGCAAACCCTCAGACTTACCAAGAATATAAAATGCAGCCAAACAAAATGGTAGTACCCAGGCCAGTAACTAGGTTTTCATCTCTGTGCAGGTCTTGACTAAATTCAGGTACACAGATTGTGATGTTCCGATTGTTTTCATCCAGGACTTCACAAAAGAAAACAAACAAAAAAGTACAGTTAACAAAGCTCATTCCACTGCATTTCAAAGTAGTCATCAGACTGACGGTATTCAGCAATATATCTTTATTAATTCAGACACTGGTATATTTCAGTTGTTTCTATCTACCTTCTAAAAAGTTCATCCAGAAAAAATTACATAAATCTGATGTGGCATATTCTGTGTTTCAGGCAAAACAAAAATGCAGCTAAGTAGTGTACTTAAATTTCTTATTTGATGAGAGCAGACAAACAAGGAAAAAGACTGGTGAACTGTGAAACAGGAAGTTGGAAGTTTACCACCATTTCATCCAGGACAACATATAAGAACAAGGTAGTAGAGTCTCAAGACCATAAATTTCTTTGGCAGCAGAGGTGCCTTGAGGACAACTGTGAAATTCATACTCAGTGAAAGAAGATGGTGTGTAGTTGCCCTGTTCTCAGATGCATATACAGAGGCCCAAAGTAAAGGAGATGCACCGCTTACAGGCAAGATTTTATCTGAACATCTAAACAAATACTACTCCTAGGTCCCTGAAATGAAATTAACTCCTTGTTCTAAGATGCATCTGGCTTTTTGGTGTGCGGAGTCAAGGTAAGGCAGAGGCAAGTCAAGCATTACCCCAAAGCAGGAGATGTCACCTGCACCTTATTTCAAATCAAGAGCTTTTGGAGCCAGTGCTGTTCAGACAAACTGTGTTCCTATCTCCTCTTTTCTCCAGCAGCCACACTGCACGCCCATTGGGAGAGCACAACTGTTTGTAAGAGCAGAGGGCAAAATGAAGTAAAGGCTGCATCCCAGTTAAAAATAAACTCAAAGCCAGTATTCTGACCTGCTGGGGGAGGACTTTGCATGGCCCCACAGAGCTGCACAAACATCTTTATCAGCGGACAGCAGGGACAGCATGGGGGTGGGAGCAGAAGAAGGGACAGCAAGCCTTGGAAGGCAAGATGGAACATTGCGGCCAGAGATGTGTAGAAGCCTCTACCTGTCCATCAGGGACACCTCTGCAGCAAGGCAGATCCACTGTTTAGCAGGCCTTTTAGCTAACTCTGGCACCAAAAAGCTAAGGCACATTGTGATAAGCACAGGTTCAGTAGACATTACCTTTTGTTTGCCCGTTCCTTCTTAAGACATTTGCAACTCTGCTTTTTGTTGTAAGTTGTAAATACTTGTGGCTTTCATTTACTTCAGGCCTGGTTTACAAAGTGGCTGAATGGCAAGAAGGCCAGTTTGAAAGTCCCTCCTTGAGGAATGAATCAACATTAGATAAATTCATGGCAAATCTGAGTAACAGGCCATGGGACACCTTAGCGTTAGCACCCCACACATTGTCCAGCACATGCCACTGTAAAAGCAGCAAAGGCGAATATGAGAGTCCTTATCACACAAACAGGGAAGAAAGGAACATCTCAGAGAGGATGACAACCATGAGAGTTCTCTGACCTGAGAAGATAAGGAAGAGCAACAGATTCAGAAGGTCTGAGAGAGTGTGCTTGATGCGTACTCTGACCAATGCAGTAACCACACTTGCAGTACATACAAAAAGAATCATAGCATTCATTTAACTGCTGAAGACTTTGTCTGTCACAAGCACAAAAGAACACAGGGCCTATGATTTAATGCCACACATCACTTTCTTCCTCCCTTTTTTTAACATTGTGTCAAGTCTTGTGAGTAATTCAGATGCCTTCTAAATTAACTTATATGTTCATTCAAAAACACTGCTTAAGCTCCTTAAATAAATCTTCCACCTAAATACTGTCTGTCCACCTTAGCTCTAGAAGACATTTTTGTGTGTGCCTGTGCCTACACAAGTTTGGGAGAGATTCTTTCCCCCATCTCTCCCCCTTCTTCTTAAGAGGTGTCTATAAAAACTTCCTCCTGCCAACAGACTTGTTCTCTTCTAGTTACTATTTCAGCTCTTCCAGTTGAGCAATAATAAAGAAGGGTTCAAATTAGCATTACTAATTTGAACCAGAAAAGTCCTCTTCAAGTGAAAAGAATGCTCCCTGTCCAAACAGGTGAATGTGATTGTTAACTGGGAAAAGGAAAGTTTGACTTGTGTTTGTAATGTCTTGTTGGTTTTCTGTAGCATAAAGAATTGGAAACTCCAGGGAGTTCCCTTCTCCTGGTTTGCAGTGCCAACGGTTAGAAGGCAAGTCAAGTGGAATACAGAATCTGTGCTGAAGAGCATCATCTCAAACAACTGCAACCTAACTCCACGTCCTTTCTCAGAATGTCTTCTTTCAAAATGGAAGACAAGTTTTTGCTTCATAAGGAGTCCACAGCTAAAGCTATCTAGCATAACAATTATAGAAGTGATTTTAGTATCAACTGTGATGGCCAGCACTTACTAAGCGCTGGGAACCTAGTAAAATTTTTGATGGAACTGATCACACAGCTTCTTCCAACAGCATCTAAGCGCCATTTGTTCCAACTCCTTTCCCATGATGTGACCAAACACATTATATATTGTATGAGAACATGCACTTGCCACACAAGGAATAGGCTAGAAGACTCTAGGAAATTTGATGGCAGGAAACAGGTACATGGAGAGTGCCAATTTCATGGTTTCTCTGCTGCTGGAATTATTTCTAGTGTTTGCAATTTCTTCTGCATAGGCCAGAACAGACCAAAGCCAGCACTCCAATATCCCTAAATTTTTTAATTCATGTTTGTTAAATTCTAGCTTTTAATACATGTCTAAAAGAATTCACGTAGAACATTACATAACTTACTAGTTTCTGGTGGCTTGCTGGACAGTGCAGAGAAAGTGAGGTACATGACGTAGCAGCTGATAACGCCTGACTGCAGCAAACCAGAATGGGGCTGGCCTTTACAACAAAGGGGAAAACAAGTTATTTTTGCAGACAATTTAACAAACTGAAAAACAAAATCATATCCTTTAAAGAGCAGCACATCAGTATCCTTCAGAAGTGTATCTTTCATGTTTTATGAAAAGAAGTGTATCTTTCATGGTTTAGAGCCATTCATACATTTTTAAGTCAGTTTAGATACCCTTCCAGCAGCATGTAAAGAGAAAAGAGTGTCCTTTAGTTCTGATGGCTGTTTTAGAATGGTATTAAAGATTCCCTGAAAGTGGTGAATCACCCCTCTATTCTCACCAAAAGCACCAACTTTCCAAAACCTCTTGACGTGACAGTTTTATTTGCCTGTAAATTTTGTGTTGGAGTAACTCAAATTACTATTTCCAAGTCCAATATATGCAAGATAATAACAGCACACATATATGCTTCATATACTGAAACATAAAATACTCTTGTCAACTCCTCCAGGCCCAAAATTTACAGATGGTAAACCACAAGCAGTCAAAAGTAAATGGTGGATGAATTTGTCAGCTATTACTCAACTGCTATCACTGCAAGAGTTGTGTAAGCTCCACAGTGCATTACCAGCCTAAAGCTTTCTTCACACTATGCCTGCCTGATGGCACACCCAAAATGTCTCACAGTTTTCTAGTTTTAGCAGTTGAGCTGATGACCAGCAACAGCACTTCATGGTGTAGATAAAGGATAGGGGCAAGAGCAACACCAGCTCTGAACTATCTTGAGATTTTCTGCCTGGACACGGCTCATGCCCCCAGGCACACACCTGTGACAGCACCAGAGATCCAAGAGGAAAAATAGATCAGTGGACTCACGATTCTGGACACAGGGCGATATGGCCACCAGTGACACAAAGAGGCACAGGCCACCGTGAACACCAATCAGGACTTTGTTGTACATGCAGCCCTCTGAGTGTGTGTAGAAAAGAGCCATGAGCACCAGGGCTGCCACAGCAATGGAGTACAACGTGAGAGTGACCAGAGCAAGCAAACCGTTCCACATCTGCTTGTGCTTTGCACCTGCAGTCCTGCGGAGAGAGAGAGAGACAGTACCTTATCTTTGTCTTCCCTTCCCTAAAAGAATTAAATTCTACATAACTGAATTATTCATATCCTCTAATACAAAAGAGTGCTTACTTTCCTGAAATGTGTAGGTCACTACATCAACAAGGCCCTTGCAAGGGTCCTCCCGTGAAACAGACGTAAACATTCCTTAGCATTAGTGTTTATCTTCTGTATTATCATGGCCAGCTGTTTCTATAATCATAGCCCAGCATGACTCCTAGACCTTTCAATGTCTGGGATCAGCCCACCAGCACATCTCATCCAAATACCTCAGGGATTTCCTCAGTAGGAACTCAGACTGTCGCAGGTTTAGCTAGCAAGCAGTGCTCTTCACAAAAGGACAGCAAAGGCACGTTGTTTGGCATGGCCTCTCTTCCGCTCCTTGCGCCACCTTGACAGTTTTACCACCCCTTCATTCAAAAAGCCTCATCTCCGTTTGAGTCTATCTCATCAATTTCCCTCAACTAAAGCGCAGTTCACCTTGTATTCTTCTCTTCGCCTTCCAGACTCCTCTTGCAAAGATCACCAGTTTTTTAGGGGCAGCAACTAAAAACGCTGTTTTGTCACAAAGGGATTTTTGGTGCTTGGGTTGTTTTTCTTGTTTTGCTTATTGTTGTTTCGTTTTGTGCAAACATGACTTATTTTTAAAAGAGCACCTAATGGAGGGAGTGCTAAAGTTAAATGCTGCTGCTGGAAAAGAAAAGCAGCTACAGGAATTAGCCATAACAAAACTGTGTGATATAAGGAGTTCTCACCTCTTCCTCCTTGAAAAGGTTTGCTAAAATTCTTTCTTGTCAGTCAGTACGATGATTGGAACAAGAGAGGACTGCAAAGGTTTGTAGAGGAAGAAATGAGAAACAGAAAGGATGGAGGTGGAGGCTGGAGTTCTTGCATGTATGTGGGAGAACAATTTAAATATTTTAAATTTATGAGAGGCTAAGAGCTAGGAGGGTAATAGCAAATATGCCTGAACCAGAAATGAAGTCAATACCAAAATGGGGTATACGTGGGTTGATAATGGAATCTTTCATATATATATGAAAAAAGTTGAAGAGAAAGTAGCAGTTCTCATGTCAAGAAACAATTTAAAAAAATGGATGTGCATTAAAATGAAACAAAAAAAGCAGGATTTACCATTTTATATCACTGTATACAGTTTCACTGTTACATTTTGCAAATCTAGTTTTACCCTCTTGCACCACTGTTTCTTAGCAGATATGTTTTCATATAAAATATAAAATAACTTCAAGGTTTTTGCATGCTAACATGCTACTGATTATCAGAAGCTAAGCAATTCCATGTAAGAATAGATCAGCAGAGTAGAAGTGAATAAAGAGAAAACATCTGGGGAAGGAAAAAGTGGATGAAGCAAAGGTGAACAGCTCTAAACATTGAAATGAAGGGTCTTCTTTCAAAAATTACATCCATGCTATTTTTAAATTCCTTGTTATGAGCAATGTAATGTTCAGGAGTCCACTAGAATTTTATGCAAGTAACTATTTGCCCAACACATACCAATTTTTATTCCATTTGTGTGTAAACTCAACAAGCAGGATGAGCTGAATGGCAATGAAAAGGAAACCTCCAGTTGCTCCTACGTAGCGCCAGGCTGCAAAGCAGAGGCAGAAAATAGGTCAAACTGCAGTCGCCTTTCCCTTGAGATAAAATGGAATCACTGTCTATGCAGTGAAGCCGTAAATGCCGTTTAAAGATCTCAAGCCCGCAGACGTAGCAGAAGATTTCAGCTGAAAAGCCAACTCAGCTAACTGAAGATTAGCTACCTCATGAATTCAGCTTCCAATGTACTCCCCTTTCAAAATAAGCCTGTTAGGACACTTATGGAGTTTCCATAACCTAGAGAATTTTCGTGGGGACTATGAGTTACTATATTCAGACAGAAAATACTGAAACCTTTATTTGCGACTGGTGGCATGAAGACATTCCACAGGAATCTAAACCCTGAAATTGCAAGGTACTGGAACACAGTACTATAAAGGGCAATTTCTTTCCGTCCAAATTCCAGTACCACAGAAAAACAAAGGCGGAGCTTACCTACTTACAAATGTTGTCCCGAGCCACTCCCAAAGAGACTGGAACACTTGGTATTCACTTTTAAGAGAGGTTGTTTGACTACTTAACCACTGACCTACATATACTGTATTTAGGTAGCTGTTTGGATACTTCAGACAATAGATATCTTACGTACAACATCAGATGTATCTGAGAAAATACAGGTACCTATTTAAATGTTTAGTTGCTTAAACAGCTTGCGCAGCATGCTATGCAGTACATAGCCTGTACATGACTCCAAGTACGCAGCTGATTTCAGATGACACCTGTAAAACTCAAGTTCAGGGACTGACTGTTTATCAGGATGTGCAGACTACAGGTTCAGAGAGAGAAGTCAGAAGGCAATTTCAGGAAGAAAGCTTGTTATGCTGTATCTCCACTCTGGGTTAGGCTGGTTTCCCTTTGAGAAACAGCATTCCTAACCAACGCAAAAAGTTCTGCTTCCCCTTTTCTCCAGACGCTTCAGTTCAAAATTAAAAGGGTCACTTGCAAAGATGATAAGCAGTCTCTCTTGCTTATGAGTACAATGCATTGCACAAGTGCATCTTTCTAATCCAAACAGTGATTAGATACTAAGGACAAGTACATATAGCCATCCCATGACTTCATGGGCGAGAGGAACAGGGATAAGGAGACCTTCACTTCCGGGGCATCTAACTGAGCCAGGACCAAACAATGCCTGTCTGGTGCCAGGGTGTCTTCCAAAACTAGAAATGCTTCAAGGCACAGCATCCTCAGCAGAGCACCCCAAAAAGTCTAATTTTACCTTCATGCATTTACACCACCAGCCTGACAGCTAACATCCCAAATTCTTTCGCAGCACTGCAGGTTTCCAGCAGCAAACACCAGCATCCAGAAAGGCACTGTGCTCCCTCAAGAACCAGCACCTCTCCATAAACACAGCATGAATCTGGCTGCTGCACTACTGCAGAGCAACCTGCACAAGCCAAACTAACAAGTGGCTCTATGCCCTTGAGAGAAGCATTTCTTGTGCACCATTACAGCTCTTCCCATCTTAAACAATCTGAAGGACAGCACCTACCCATTTGGCCTGCTCCTGGTCAGAAAAAAACATGCTCTTTACTGCATGTAAACTACATGAGCTTTTCTCATGAAAAGACCATCTACTTTCATGAGAGGACCACCTACTCTGTACACAGTTTCCCTCAAACTTTGCTTGAAGAAACATGGTAATATGAATGAAGCAGCACTACAAAACAAGGACATACCATTGAGGAAAGTGTCCTGATCAGGAATGAAGAAAGCTCCTGAGCACATTGCTGCCAGAAGTATAAGTTTAATCAGCCAGAATCTAGACAAGAGGAGAGGGGAAAAAAAAAGTCATTTGGTTACAATAGGCATTAGAGGTCTTCAAGTCAACTATCATGAGAGAAATCTTTATTTAAAGCCTGAGATCGAACAAAAGAAAACCCCCCTTTGATGACTGACTGACGCTTTAGTTAGTTCTCACTTGACTGCATTATTTCTGACAAAAGCAGAAAATCAGCTTTTGGGTTGGGTTGGGGTTTTTCTGCTTAGTGCTACATCCAGCTGGAAAGCAGGCAACACAAACTGGTAAAGAAAAGTGGAAATGAAGCAGTCAAACAAATACTCACCCATTATGAACGTATGCGCGGCAGCTTTTGCTGCTGTTAATTTTGATGGTGAATAAGAAGAACAAAAAGAAGAAACAGGCCATTCCAAAACAGACTTTGTACACTGCAGAGTATCCCACCAACTTCTCACACATCTCACCCGCCTGAATACTCTTGCACATCTGCTTGTAGAAGGGAATCTGAAAAGCACATGTTACAAGCTGTTAGATAGGACACAGGACTCCTTGTAACCAAGCATGTCTGCATCTGCTCACCACCAACTTTTCACTGGCTTCTTTTAACATATTTCTTTCTTGATAACCCCCTGCCTGGATTTAAGGTTCAAGAGACATAAATGTAAAACACAAAGGACTGGAGTTGTCTAGAGCCTCCAGTCTCAACTCCCTCCACATGCTTTGCGGGTACAAGTCCATCTTTCTTTCCTTTACTGCCCATCCCCTAAACCTAGGGACCCTCTCCCACCTTCCCATGCTTAACAGAAGACTTTGATTGCTTCAGTAATCAAGGAGGGGCATGCAGGGGGCTGCAAGGCAGGAAGTTTTGGCTCATGCTTCCCTCCATGGATATGTAGACCAAAGCACACGCAAGTGGCACAGGGGCAGCAACCCCCTCCTCTCCATCACAGCCTCTGAAAGGGCATTGTGCCAGCTGCTCTGATTTTGCTTTAAATTAACAGAGAGGCAGGAAAATTCCACCGTTCTGTTGACTCATTAAATATTTGCCTTTGAGGCCCTACTCTTGCCACAAGGGGAAAGCAAACAGCTGCACCTTTTGGCTTCAGTCTCACATGCAGAAATGACACTGGGTGCTCAAAAAATCAGGTCTGTGTGGCCAGGACCCAGTCCTGTGCGGTGCCTCCATGTAGACACCCCCCTTGCAGCCAGGGAGCCACTGAGCTGTGCAGAAATACAGACATTTGGTTAGAAAACCACTGTCGGTTTCTAAGAAAAAGCCTCTCTGTATGCTCACAGGTCTCAGCTGAGGCTGGTGAGACCAGTCGAACAACACACCAAACCCCCTGGAGTTGACTGCTGCTACCTGCACAGGTCACTGGAGGAGAGAGAAGACATGTCTGCCAGGACACAACATGTAGAAATAAGTACCTTGGGCAAGGGAGATGGGAATCAAACTTCAGAAAGCATTCAGCCAGGAAAGATTTTGCTCAGGAAAAATATGCAAAGACTGTGGGCAACACCATCCTTGAACAATTCCAAGAAGTTAGCAAAGATAGCAGACACTGCTTCCCTCAGCCTGCAGGTCGGTACACAAAACCAAGACAGGAAAGAACAAACAGGGCCCAAGAGCAAGTGATCAGGCAGTTTTTCCAGCTGGGTAGAAAGAAAGCCGAGATGCAGGAAACAAGGGGTAAACATGTAAACTGCAGGCTTTCAGCCACTAGTTTCTGTAAGCCTGCTTCTGTCAGCAGGGTATGCAACTTTCCCTGACATGCCAGCAACCCAAACCAGTCAGGAGCTCAACAACCCTCTTGCAGCTTCCCAAAACCAGCAAGTATTTTGGCAGCTCACAGCAAAGTTAGGTTGCTGTGCTAAGGGCAGCTAACATAACTACAGTATTGAGCTGATTCTAGATGGGCTAGAACCAGCCAACGAGACAAAAAGCAGGTCTCAATGCAGCTGCGCAGTGTTACAGGAGCAGATTCAAGCTGGACCACTCTGAGATGCTCTTTCAGGAGTAACTCAGAGGTGAGCAGCCACCGTGTGAGAAGCTGGACAGTAAATGAGGAGCTGTGGCTAACTTGCATCCAAGAGTTTTTAGAGAGGTGCTGAGAAATTGCCTGGAGCAGCAGGCTTTTCCCAGGTGTTGAAAGGCTATAAGCCATCAGATTGGGCAAACATGCCAGCATTCAAAACAAGCAAATGGATTGACTGGAATAATTAAGAGACCTATCAATGCCGCAGGGAAGCCAGGGCAAGCCAAGAGACCACAGCAATCCCAAGGAAAGCAATTGGCCTATCAATTTTTGCTTTCCAGTTCTTTGCTTATAAGATCAGTCAGCAGAGACTACAAAGATGTATAATAGCAAACTAACAATATTTCTGAGAAAATTGTGGATTTGCTTGCTATAGATGACCAAGGAGACAGATTTCTGCAACATCTGTACTTGGAACCAAGCAGCATTTTGCTTGAGACTTACAGAACAAAATAAAAAAAACACCCTGGCACCTGATTAATTGACTAAATTAAAACCAGATCTTTGTGTAACCGTAAGTGGGCATCTTCTTCAATTGCATAGGTTTCTACAGATGGGGTTTTGACCCTATATGTTCTTTTCTCCATTTAGTAGTAATTTCTTTACAGATCTGGCTGAGAGAAAATGGATGGATTCACAAGAACAATAGCTCAGTTTGTGCCTACACAAGCAACAAAGACCTCAGCTGTCATGTAGTATGCACAACACTATGCAGTAGCAAGTGATGACCGCAGGAACGGTCCTGTGGGATTGAACACCGTTATTGGAGACCCATGAACCTGAAGGAACAGAACAAGAATAAAACCAAACTCCTGGGGACCCCAGCAGATAATAAGCACGAGCACAATGCTGGTGACAAAAGCACTGATATAATGAAAAGAGCATGTTTTTGTGAGAGGATGATCTACTGGTGGGAGCAATTTATCAAGGCTTATGTGACTTTTTCACTGAAGGTTAAAAAAGACTAGGTTTTGGGAGGGGTTTTTTGTTGTTTTGCTGCGTTTTTTTTTTTAAGTTCTCTGTCTCTGAAATACGTTCAGCTGCTGAACAGCCTGCCCAGCCCACGTGATTTACCAGGCTTTCCGTTTGCTGGGTGGTTTTGCCAGCTGTTAAATCATGGATTAACTATTTGCCAAGTTTGATATAGTGAAATATTTACTTTAAAACTTTAAAAGCAACATAAGCTAATTTTTCTTTTGGCATCTGAGTAGGGGACAAAGCATTCTTCCTGCAGAAACTCAGTATCCGCTCAGATAACGTAAATGCCGCTATTGCTGCACAAGCAATGATGTTATCATAGCAATGTCAGCAATTTCCCGAGTGCAGTGAAACCCTTTGAGATGATAGCAACATCTACAGAAACAGGGACAGGCAGCCCTGAACTTGCTTTCCCCTCACCGTGAACTGCTGCTCCCCAAAATAAATGCAGTTCAAGAATCAATCCAACACAGCAGCACAATGTCCAGGCTGAGGCTTGGTCACTTCTCCTGCCTGTACCCAAGCTTGTGAACGCAGAAGCGCAGAAAATAGCTTTGGAGGGAGAACTGGAAGGAAGAAGTGTGTAGAAATGGGCCTGAAGAGCCAGAACAAGACCGCTTTCATCTGGATGTCCTCATTCAACAGAGGGAGAATGTGGCAGATGAACTTTGCTATAGAAGCAGAGGAAGCATGAAAGAAAATCTGTGTAGGTGGAGAGACAAGGGCAAAAACACATGCAATCTTGCATCTTGATGATCTTAAAAGTCTTTTCCAACCCGGCTGAGTCTCTGATTCTCTGATCTACGGCTAAATTTTCATCAGAGATATGCAATGGGCATCTGCACTTAAAATCCCCATTTTTAGTAGCAAAGTTGAATTTTAGCATACTGTAATACAGTTAAGGTCCAAGATACAAACCTGGCTAGGGAAAGAAGCCTGAAACCATGCTCTGCCAGAACACAAAGCCATCTAGAACTGAAATGCTTTGACAAAACTGAACTGGTTGTTACTGGGTTTTGTTTTCCTGAAAACATCTTTCTTAATTTTCCTTTCATTATTTAAGTAGGACCTGGATATTTTCAGTGTAAAACATTAGTTTTGCAACAGGTTTAACAGTAAAAATTTAATTTAAAAAAACCAAAACACTACTTCAAAAGACCAAAGCAATTTTCTTCCTTTTCTTCTCTCAATTACCCTTTTGAATCCTGTCAAATTCAACTATTTGCTTCAACAGAACATCTTTGAGTAAAGTTGTATCTGTTTTTAAAAAAAAAACCCAACAGAATTACTGGAAAAAGAAAATTATATATGGATATATGCATAGAAACACTTCAAGTTGGATGCTGCTTTGCTTCATTTTGGAACAGAATCAAGTCTCTAAACCATTTTGTGTAACTGAATATTGGTCTTTTGTGTGTTTCTGTCCACATGACTGAGGCTCTCATGTCTTGATTGATGCTCTACCCCATCATTTGGCTTGATACACAACCTTGCTCCTCTGAAATCTATTCTACACACCACTATCCAAAATAGTTTCCTGGTCAAAACTACCCACTCCTTCCCTACCCCTCCTGTGCCTCTTACTTCTTCCACAGAAATCAAACACAAATGCCTTAGTTTCTTTGGACATTTTTCAGAATTTAACCCTTTAGGGCTCTCTTGGTGTCCCATGGGTGCAGGAACAGCTCAGGAGAAAACTCCCCCCACAAAAGACAAGTGTCCAACTCTTAAGGCTCATCACAAAATATGATGTCCTTAAAATCTTGCTGGTTAGACTAGGAACTAAGGTTTTGAAATGATACCCAGGTACAGTGTCCTCCCACTGACACATGGTTCCATCTATCTGCTAGCTTTGGTGAGGATGTGGAAGCTGAGACCCCTGTGACAGGGACTCATTTTTCCAGCCACATTGCAGGGCACAGAGTGGTCCCCAGCTCCGGGCTGGGAGCTGCAGAGTCTGGAAAACTGTCATAAATGTTTTTTAATAGGCAGAATGCATGACCATGGGGGTAGATTAATACAACAAAACAAATACAAACTTTTTTTTACAAGTCTATTTAAGGTGTCCTTAAAAGATGTACGTTCACTGCTGCTTCCTCTCAAAAAAATGCCAAAGGACCAAGTGCTACAATAAATACTTTTAGAAGTACTTTAGACTTGGGAATTTATAGTTAATCAACAAAAAAAAAAAAAAAAGACTGACAAGGGGGAGATTCCTTTCATGTAACAGTGTCCTTGAACTCTAAACTGGTAAAGAAGACACATGGTTGCCTGCCAAGATTATGGCTCCGTAAAGGACTGCACTAAAATTTTATTTTTTATTTTCATAATAATTTTAAAAAATCTGATTAAAATTAATTAGAAGTCTGTTTCCTCTCAAGGAAGAGGGTTGAGGTCCTAGAAGCATGATGCACAGCGTTTGCTTACAGCCCAGCTTCAGGACTTACGAGTGCTCCACAATCCAGCCAAAAGCAGAGGAATCAGTAAGTTCCCAGCACTTTCAAAACACTTTCAAAGCACAGTTCATCACTGGGAAACTGAGGACTGGTTAGCCTGAATAAATATTTCCAAGGTGCACTCTATTACACCTGGGCTGAATTAGCTTCAGGAGTCTTTGAACTTTCAACAGCCCCAAACATAATTATTAAATTAGAGAGCAGATAAAGGAAGCCTACTTTCATATGGTGCATTTACCATTCAAAGACATCAAATGTTCTAAATTAAGAGGGTGATTATCTTTCCACTTCACACTAACAGCTACTTTATGCTATTTCTTCCCACACTGAGCTTTCAAGACTATGAACTGGAAAAGAAATTTGGCAATACTGAAAAGGATGTTGTTGAAGGCTTCCTGAATCACTTTTCTGTTGGATAAAGACAGAGTATTTTTGTTAGGGGTACAAGCTGCATTAAAACCACACTACTGATGGAAAATGACTTTATGAAATTTGGATATGAGCACGTAATTTGTCTCCTACACAGTTGAGTTCCCTGGGTTATTCACTTTTTTGCCAAGCTAAGCATCCAGTAAGTCAAAGTAATTCTTGGCAAGCAAATTCAGCATGCACATGTTGAGCAGTCACAGCTCACAGGCAAGCATCATGCCTGTATTGGGTACTCTTTCAGGGCGGTCAGCAACTGCTGGTAGCCAGGGGTAAGAAGGTGGTGGTAGAACAACTCAAGCAAAGTGCTAGTAAAAGAAAGAAAATCAGGACAGAACATACAAAGAGGGTACAATGGGAAGAAAGAAAGGTCACTGGCAGCACAGCAGAGAAACCCTTAAACTAGCCCTATCCTAAGCCTGCTGGTTCATCTGTGTTGCAGCCATAGGGTGCAAACACCTTGATCTTGAATGGTGAAGAGCTAAGTGTTTCACAGAAAACTGCAAGTCAAGCACAGAAGGTAAGCTCAAACAGCAATTGGTTAAATGAGGAAACAGCCTTAACTGTGCACTCACTGGCACTCGGTCTTGGGAGGGTAACACAAAACAACTAGGTGACCTTCTTAGTGAGGGAACCATTCTGAACCTCCAGGGCATGCACAGCCTTGAAGCAGGCCCAATGGTGAGTTTGGTGGAGAAACTTCAAGAATTAAACAATCCAGTCATTGTTCCCTCTACTTAAAAAAACAACTTCTTTTCTTGTAGTTTGTAGGGGATGAGAGAGAGGATTTGTGCTATTGAGAGCAGCTTGGGCAGCTGAAGAAACCAAACCGAAGACAAGGTACATCGGGTCCAGTGTTGAGACTGCAAGCAGGCTGCTGAGCATTTAGCTTAGGAAAGTTATATTAAGACTCTGAAAGAAACCTGAGTTTTAAAATCTAGTTTTAGCCACAGCTCTTTCATGCTTTAGAAGCTTTTTAATTAAAAAGACAATTAGAGATGAATAATATCTTCTGTGGTTACAGCCCATGTGAATAAACTGACTCAACACACACTGAAGAAAACCCCTTGTAAAGGATCTGCATGGCAGTAGTCTGTCACACAGCACCAAGAACACAGAATTAAAATTATAAATACAACACTTGAACAGCTGTTTTCTAATTCGCTACTTCTGCTACTAAACAAGTTGCCAGAGGCGAATTCAATGCTGGACTGAATTGATTTGTTCTACTATAACATGTCCCCTAATGGGCTTTAGTGACACTACCTGTGCAGCAAACCTGGGATGGGTTCACTGCAGAGCAATGAAAGAGGAGGAAGACTGCTAGTCCTGTGTCCCTTGACTCTTCATGTTGTGAAACACACTCAACAGGTGAGAAATTGACAGGAGGGAGACCCATTTCCTCCCGGGGCAGCAGTGGGTTCATCTGTCTTACTCACGTGCGTTTTCATCTCGTTAGCTACTGTTGTTGACATCATGACACAACAGATGATAGTCACCAGCATGAAGTAAAGCGCATACATGAAGCGGGTGCTGGTTGACTGTTTGATCTTGGGGCAGCATTTGCAGCACAAGGAACAGGCAGCAATACCGCAGCAGCAGGCCAACTGGAAAGGAAGACAAAAAACACAAGTCATTCCATCACCCCCTTTAGGTTTCTATTGCAAAAGTCAGTCAGGGAATCTGTGAGACTTTCTGTAAAACTCCAGAATTTCTTAAGTCCTCTCTTCTCAGCCGAGCAGCATTTAAGTGGAAGCAGATTGCCTTGTTTATCAGAAGTCACTAGGTTGAAGCACATCAGCTTCTAGTTTTCCCACACGCTAAAGCTGAGTGAAGAGGATGAGGAGGAATTGATCCAGATTTTCTTAATCCTGCTCTTTACTATTGCTGTGCAACTCATGGTCCTGACATGTTTCACCCAGCAGAACAGGCATTGCAATGGTAAATCTCTGTTTTCTGCAATACACTCTCCCTCCTCTGTAGTGATAAAACAAATCTGCACAAGAGGGGCACAGACCCCCAGATTGTTTACTTCTAACATAAAGACAAAACAATTTGGTTTTTAAGACAAGCTGGAGGCTTTGTTTCAAAACAAGCTGTGCAGATCCATTTCAATTCACCAGAACCATACTGTCCTTTTTAGGTCCCATTTCTGGTGCACACACAAACAAAAAACTGTTCTTTTCTGTAATTTCTGATACAGAACTTTTTATGCTACCAAAGACTTTGAGCAAATCAAAGCGAACAGGAAAACTGCTGAACTCTTGGAAAACTTTCAGCAACACTCTGGGATAGCGGTCTGAAGGCTTTGTAAACAGACAACAGCTACAAAGAAAGCCAAACAAACCCAAACAAACAAACAAACAACAAGCTACAAAAGTTCTAAATATTTTGGGAAGTAGAGAAAGACTCTGGAAATACTGGCCTTGCTGTGAACAAAGACAGCTGAGCTTGAAGGACCCAAAATACAACGGCATCATCCTGTACTCAAGAAAGCCAGAGAAGAAAGAAGACAAAAGAAAGAAAGGCAAATTCACAGTTATTTCACCCTTTGCAAAGGTGAAAATGGGGATCCCACATACAGGATGGCAAGGGGAAAAAATCACAGCTGCAAGGAAAATAATAGCAAATCACACTTCAGCTGCTACTGTCTCCAGTGTTTAATCATTATTAGAGACACTATTCCTTGTGTATTTTAGTTCTTTTTACCTGCAACTGAGGGTCCACCAAGACAAAAACCAGGAAGCACAGCAAAAAGCACATAATGGCCTTATTCAACAGGGAAAAGGTACTGGATAAATCCTACAAGGGCTCTACCTTGATGCTTATTATTTCCTAACTGTTAGCGGTATCATTAACTTTCAAAGAAGCTGGATTCACCTTCCCTGCCTTCTACATTTAGAAAAGTCATATATAAAAATATAAGCCTTATTTTTATACATAAGGCAGCACTGTTCTTGGCCAAGCCAGTCCTTGCAATAGGCAGCAGCTTCAAATGGCTCATGTGTTACCCCAGCAGCCGTGACCACAGGAAGCATTTTTGGACATCAGCAGGCAGCCAGGAGCAGGGAACATTTCTTCCAGGTCTCAGTGCTGCCAACCCAGAGTGACCTGAGCCCACAGCATTCCCATTTTTGAGGGTCTCACTGTGGCAGGTGTGTAGCACAGGGGTGGTCTGTGGCCAGTGCCAGGGACTCAAGAAGACCGAGGTTGCTTTTTCCCAGTGTTTCCTCATCCCTCAGAGGGACCATGGATCAGAGGATCCCCTGCTGTCTAGCAAGCAGCTGTACAAGAGGGATGGGTTTTCTTAGCCCTTGACAAGGGACTCAAAATTCACAAGTGCCACATTCGAGTCACCCAGACAAACTTTACTGGCTTGTATGTGCCTTTTTCCTCCCAGGAAATTTCCTCTTCCAGCACCAATGACTGTCCAACCCAGAAAAGAGAGTTTCATGTGCCTGTTTGCAGACACATATCTGACGTAAAACCACAGAGTCTCACAACCAACACGGGTGATCAAACATTATTTTGAAGAAGTGTCTTGAAAAGATTCCCAGCTTATCGTTTCCTTGCCATGTCTATCTGCTGCAACACCCAAGATCGGGCTTCCTCCCTTCAGCTCTGCAGAAAGCAGGTGGCAGAGGCCCTTGCCTCACTCAACAACAGCTCTTGGGTTTGCAGGAGACATGAAACAGAGAGAGTCCAAGCCTGCTCCCACGTTGCCCTTCCCTCCATCCACCGCTGGATCTCACGCCAGCAGAGATGGAGGCCTCAAAGCACACAGCTGCTAAAACTGCTGCTGCTGCAAAGCAGAAATTCGCCCCAAAACACACAAAGCTCCAACTGTGGGGAATAAACAGAATGGGCTCGTGCTGGCACCAAAGCTGGAAATTGATGTGCATAAGCACATCGTGCAAGTATACTTTCAAAATAGAAGGCAGTGATGGCGGGGTGGCAATTTAATTTTTTATAGGTAGTGAAATTAAGTTAACTTTTACAGCATCAATACAATTCCAAGAAACAAGAAAGCTATCGTAAGTTACTGACTCAGTAAACAAACGGAATAGTAGCATTTCAAAACAAAAGTGTACCAAGAAAGTATAATTCATCCACTCCAGAATTGTGGGAGGAAAAAACAAATTAAAAAAAAATTAAGATTAAAGGTCCTTTCAGTCTGTACCAGAGAGATCCAAAGATCCCACAGAGAACTTCAACTGCTGGACACACTTGCCATAACACTAAAAACTACAGTACAAAAGTAAAAAGGTATGCAGCTTTGGCATTTGTAAGGGAAACATTTTCCTAAACCAGGCGCTAGAGAGCTCTGCCAGTGAAATCCCATTTGCATCCAGCAAAGTGTCTGCTATTCCAGTCCTGGGTCTCTGGACCTGCTATTTAAAGGAACAAATACTTATATGGAATATATAGTTCAATTTATGCATTGTACCACATTACTTGGAGAGACTTTAATGATAGTTTCTAATACTGAACATGCACCCTATAAATTGGCAATACTTGTGAAAATACCAGTGTCTTCATCTTTTTTCAGCACTCCTTTCTGCACTCTGAATAGCCATGGAAACCACAGAAAGTTGGTTAGGTTATTCAGCCACAGTCCCAGGCTGGGTGGTTTGGGGTTTTACCCCTTTTTTTTCTTTTTCTTTTTTTTTTTTTCCCCTTTTTTAAACTCTGGTTATGACTAACTACATTCCATAGTAGGCCACCATGAAAGAAGTGTTACCCAAAAAGTAAATCAAAACAGTCTCTGTCCCAACGAGTAAGACGCTGGCTACAACCCACTGACCTGAGAGGTGTCAAAATCTTTGGGTGACAGGCTTCAAAGCCCACATACACAACAAGTTCTCTGTTAAGAAGTTGCAGTCAACATGCAGCTAAACTACACAGCCGCTTTTCCATGGGCATGGCCCATCTCACCTTGCCTCTGCCTTTTGACTGCAGAGAGGATCTGCCCAGGGGCTCAGGACCCACTGGTGCAGAATTGCAAGCCAGTAACAAACCCTTCCCACGTCAAAAAAGATGACTGTGAAAAAATGCAGGTAACGTCATAAATCTTTTACAGGTTTAGCTATCATTAAACTAAAGCTCCTCCAAAAGATGCAGAAGGAACCCATCAGTGGTTTTCAAGACACAGACAACCCAAGGCCTGTGATAGGTGCCCTCAGGCAGGCCTTGGGAATCCTGGTCTGTATCTACAGAGCTTCTTCCAAGGCCAGGGTCCCCAGGAGCGCAGGGCAATGGCATCCAAAGGCCAGGCTTCCCTGGCAGGAGTCTCATGCTGCAGTGGGTTCTGGCTTCATCTTTCTCACGCAAATGCACTCAGCAGCCAGGCAGCAAGTACAGCTGCCCCAGCTTCACATCCCCTCACCAGGTGAACACCACAGTCTGACAATCATTACAAGCACTACGCAAGTATTTATGCTTCCCCCAAATACTTAGGATGAGCTCACACTGACCCACTGCGTACACCAGCCGCCTGCTGTGCTCGGTGCTACCCTTTCAGATCTCAAGGAGGGTGAAGTGCCAGCTTGCCTGAGATCCCAAAACTTGAAAATCTAGTTAGTGTACCTGAAAGCAGACTGTGCCGTGATCCGCACTGCCAGGACCATGGCTGACCTGACTGGTTCCACAGCAGCAGCTGGGGAAGGCTGCCTGGGGAGCGTTCCTGATGAAAAAGAGTCAAAGCGCAGCTTCACAGGCGTTTCTAACGGTAGCCATGCTGGCTGCACAGCCACTGCTCCCCCCAGCCTTTCTCCTCTGCTGGCCACTCGCTCACTCCTAATCTGGCATCGCACCTCAGTAGCCCTGACTGTTGTTTCTGCTGCTGGGGGTGACCAAACAGAACAACCTACTGGGTAAAATAAACTAAAGAAAGTGTGGAAATGCCATATCAGCACTTCTCAGCTCAACGGTGGGAATCATTTTACCACTTCAAGTGAGGGCACAGTGCACAGACAGAAGGAGAGAGCAGAGGCAGATGTCCCACACCAGTCCTGCGTGCTTTGACCCTTCTCTGACCAGATGTTTCAGTGGCATTTTCCTAGCACCCCATTCAATTTGAGAGCAGTAGGGTACTGGCAGTGAAGAGGAACAGTGATTTCTACATGCACACAGTGAGGAGCAGAAGCAAGCAGACTGTGTAACAGCCCTAACTGTGCAAATCACTTTTACAAGTATAGGCTGGCCTGAACATATTTGCATGCTCCCATTCTATGCCAGCCTGGGCAGTTCCTATGGTTAACAAGAGTTAGGTTAACAAAACAAGGTAAAAATAGGCTTACCAACCTGAGCACAAGCTATTGGCTCCCTGCAATGAATACTCCACCAACATAAACTTAACATCTAACACACACACACACACACACACACACACAAGACTTGATTTTTGCAAGCTGTGATCCAATCTGATAGATCAGTGAAATGAGGTGTGACAGTAATGTTAAGCACACACACAACTACTTACATACAAGACTGAGAAGTTAATGTGTCCTGACTACTACTTTTAGAGAGACAGTGACATTTTTAGAAGGTATTTTCCACAGATGTTTCCAAAAAAGTCTCAGAGGTCCCAGAAAATATTTTGCGTAGCCATTAGAACAAAGTGAGGAGTTTCAGGATCCCTGCCCAAAATAGCCTATGGTATTTTTAAATTATACAAACCATAGGGAAGTATCAAGCTTATCACAACAAAGCACTCTTCCTTTTGGGAGTCTTCAACAGAAGTGGTAACAATCAAAGGGAAGAAGAGCATTGGAAAAAAAAAAAAAAAAAGAGTGCATACTTTAATGAAAGGAGGACTCAACAGTGTTTCATCTCTTCCCTCCCATCTGACTGCCCAGCCTGAGCAGCTGGGTAGACCTCATGCCTTCTGGCTTGTCCACCGAGCACAGGAATGTGCCTTGCTGAAGCTTCTTTTCATGGGGCGCCTGCAGCAGTTTAGCTTTTCATGCACTGCGTGATTACTTGACTACCAGCACTATCCAGGCCCTAAAATGTGCAGAGAATGCAGTCACTGAGCTGCTAACAGCAACATCTATATAAACACCCAAAAACCTACTCTCACAGCTACATGCAGCACCCAAGCAGGCTGGAAAAGCAAAGCAGCCAGCCCTGCATGAACAAACATCCTGAAGCAGTTATACACCAGCCCTTGGACTTTTAGTTTCATGCAAGAGCCAACCCCTTTGTAAGCGCACTGGTTCATGAAACCAAGATGCTTGCTGCCAGGTGTCCCAGGTGTGAGCTGGGCTCACACTATTATTGAAACCACCCTCTGCTATGCATACACATTTTGCAAAGGTTTCTTCAACCAGACACATGGTCACACAGTAGTTTGTCCTCTGAAGCAACTAAGCTCACCAAAGAGACTTCATTCTGTCCTTTGTCTGACTTAACTGGCTTTTCACTGCTGCTTCTTTACTGCTCAGACTCACCACATGGCTTAAGCCAAGACGTCTTCTGACCAGCATACCAGTTAATCAAGTGACGATCTATTTTTGGGAGCGCACCTCATGCTGCAAACTGTGCACAATTAAAACCGACTTCAGACTACAGTCACGCCAGCTGCTGCCCAAACACTGCTTTCAATGAGGCTTTCCTGCCCCACGTGTCCAAAGCAAAAGGGCTTGTGCTCTGCACCGAGGGCCAGAACTGCCACACAGCACAGAGCAGCACTAAATCTAGGTGAGAAAGCAGTATCCAGGATGGCCACGCCAAGAGCTAAACTGCACGTGAGCCACTGACAGGCTCGGCCAGAGCTGAAGCTAAGCTGAACTGGGGACAATTCCCTTCTGTCTCCATTCCTCAACATTCTCAAGCATTACTAAGTGGTGACTCAGCTCAGCAACAGACAATAATGTCACTGCAAAACGTCTAAAGACTGCACAACTGCTCCTCTCCTGACGATTTTGGAAAAATCAAGACAATTGTTTAGTCTGCCATGAGCCCCGCAATGCATCACATCACCCAGTTCCCCAGCAGTATGGCTATTTTTCATTAGCATAGACCATCTGGATTTGACAGCAGTATGAGGTGGACTGTCTGTCCCTTTGGTTGCTTATAGCTATCACCAAAACCATAAAAAAAAAAAAACCTCCCACCTTCTAATTTGTCTGCTGCAGTTCCTAGGCACTGTTCTTGATGCAGCTTTCTCCACTAGCTTACAGGGCCTTTTAATTACCTGGTCTTTTCTCCCCACTCATCAAAGAAGGAACCCAAGCCATTTACCCTCAGTCTCATTTGAAGGCTTTCAGACTTTTCCTCCCAGCACCTAAATTGTTTGGGGTTTATTCCTGCACTCCCTCAGATTTCTCCTACAAAATCATGGCAGCATCATCAGCCCCACTGCAAAGCACCCAGCCCTGGCTCCTCTCCCCAGTGTGTGCAGCCACAGAGGGGGTGAGACTCTCCTGCAAAGCCTGCCCTCCATGCACATCTTGCATAGGCAGCCAGTGGCTGTACCTAAAAGGTAAGTTTTATTTGCGCTGGGGCTATGCCACGGGAGTTACATGTAAGAGCATCTAGCAAGCCAAACACTTTGTTAATGGTTCAATAGCACCCTCTGCTCTACCTGCCCTTCAATCATGCCTATGTGCTTTTGGGAGCAATTTTAAACATACTCTCAGGTCACTGCTGAAAAGAAACCACTATTTTCATCAGTGATCTGATCCTGAAGCTTCCTTGCATCGATCCCTTGACAATCTCCATTAAAAGCAAACTCTGCTGGGTGACAGGTTCAACTGGCCTTTCCTATCATTTCATATTTCACAGTTTTCTCATTCCAGCTCATGCTGCAGACGCCTCTCTGCCTTTCACAGCAGAAGACCTGTTAACAGAACAACTGGAAGATTAAAAAGACAAGTCAGCAATGCAAAGTCTGACAACTTGAGGCCATCACTTCATACAGTGAGCAGGTTTTCCGCAGGTTAGCTCTGATGTTTGAGACCAGGACTCTAGAGGTTGAGCGGCTGATGCAGATGAAATGTGGTGCACAGCCAGGGACAGAGATTGAAGGGCAGGGCAGTAACTGCTTAAGTCCATGTACCACTGCAGTGAAGAAGCAGTTCAAATGAAACGTCTGTATGCATGAACTTAAAAGCATCTATCTGGAACAACTGCTTCACTTCTGAGTGAATTAAAAGCTCTGAGCTGTTCCACAAAGATGTTGTGTCTTTAAAAGGTGGTTCCATTACTGAGTCCAAGAGGACTTTAAGGCAGGGAAAAAAAAAAAAAAAAGACATAACAAAGATATACAAACACAAGCTGAGAAAGCTGGGGCTGTTCAGCCTGGAGAAGAGAAGGCTGCGTGGACACCTCATAGCAGCCTTCCAGTATCTGAAGGGGGCCTACAAGGATGCTGGAGAGGGACTCTTCATCATGGCATGTAGTGATAGGACCAGGGGTAATAGGTTTAAACTTAAACAGGAGAGATTTAGATTGGATATTAGGAAGTTCTTCCCCATGAGGGTGCTGAGGCGCTGGCACGGGGTGCCCAGAGAAGCTGTGGCTGCCCCATCCCTGGCAGTGTTCAAGGCCAGGTTGGATGGGCTTGGAGCAACCTGGTCTAGTGGAAAGTGCCCCTGCCTATGGCAGGGGAGTTGGAATCAGACGATCTTAAGGTCCTTTCCAACCCAAACCATTCTGACTCTATGATTAACACTTCGTACAAAGTTACAGAAACTGCTGGTACAAAACAGGAACTGATGATATCATGAATATCATATCATATCACCACATCATATTAAAAAAAATTTAAAAAATCTGCCTGCTCAAAGCACTGTTAAAGGTGTTTCAGTTTAGATCAGTGTCTCCAGGAGCCAACTTCATAAGCTTCATACATTTCCAGATTGGCAGGCTCAAGATGGATCCTCCTCACATCTTCTATTGCTTACTTCTTGATAAGCATTTCAAAATACAGTGAGTACTCAAGAAGTATCTTGAATAGTACTCCTGAACACTGTTTTGCCAGTGACTGTAATATAAGCCAAGGAAAAAAAAAAACGTATAAGATAGGTCTCTTCACACTAAGAATGCTAAGAATGGTTCCTGCTAAAACTCAGTGTGAGAGACGACAGGTTGACAAGTTTTGTATCAGCCCTGCGCTAGACAGAAAGAAGTGCAAA